GGAATAAAGGCTGCACAGTGGAATAGCTGCCCCAGGGTCTAGAGATGAATTCCCAGCCTCAGGGACACTCATGCCATTTGTCCTCATAGGTTCTTGTTTCTGAGGAGAAAAAAAAGAACACATAAATGGGAGAGGAAAAAAAAACCTAGTTCCTCATTGTTTTTCACCTGTCAAAGACTGTACTACTATTCTGCTTCTGTGGAGGACAGGGCCTGTCTTGTCCCCTGTGACCCCAAGGCCTTGGCCCCCTGGTCAGCACACAGTAGGGCTTCGTGAATATTTGTTGTTGAACGGTACTAAACCCCAGTGAGTTCACTGCTTGCAGTTATTCTTTAGATGTTTACAATCAAAGTTTATGTTGTATTGTTTTAATCCTTTGTTTAATAAAAGGCAYAGCATACTGAATACACTTTGGTCAACAAGAAGATAAGAAGAAGCAATAAGGTCATTGGTCTGGTCTCCCTCATTTAGAAGGCAGAGAGACAAAGCTATGGGCCTGCTCTCTCACCCTCTGTCCTCACTCCCGCTCCAGCTGCCTGTACTGGACAGCAGCACATGTCCAGGGAGAAGGCTGGGTAGGAATGGTGTGCGTGAATTAAGTGAGCAAGGGAACAATAGCTGAGAAGCAGCAGCAGTCTGGATTTTAGTATATGTGCTGCCGAAGCAAGCACAGAAACCAACTGGGTTTTAGAACTAAAACCAAGTAGCAATCATTCTCCAGAAAGCAGCTATGAACAGTGGGGAAAAAAATCAGTATTTCTGGAAGCTATTTAGAGGACAGCCACCAATTCCCCTGTATTGGGAGGGATGAAAGTCCATGCTCCGGGTCATCTGGAGTTGCCCTCCTGGCTGGGTGACCTTGTGTCATAATCAACCTCTCTGAGTTTCAGCTTTACTCCATAAARGAATTGGTGGGAGAGGTCATTCTAAGGAAGAAATGAGGCGATATTTGGACCAATGCTGACAGTGTGCACGTAATCATAAGGCGTCTTATCTGACTTTTGATATTATCTCTTTCAATTATCGCAGCGGTTGTCAAGCAAGGTGAGGAGAGCTATTACCTGGATAGTCAGTATTGGGATTGCTGCCATTTATTTCACCAGCTTTTTCTGGTCATACTGCTTCAGCTGAGTGTCCTCTTATGTTAATGAAAATAGGGGAACTGACCATTGTGGTGTTTCCTGGTTCACAAGGGACAATCAGGTCTGTAGTAGCAAGTCAGTAGAAAGAGAAGGGAGCAAGGTTCCCTAGACTTGAATTCATTAGACCTGTGYGTCAAAACTCAACTTTTGCAATGGTGCAACTCAGGAGGCTGAGACAGGAGGATCGTAAGTTCAAGGCCAGTCTCAGCAATTTAGTGAGCCCTAAGCAACCTAGTGAGACCCTGTCTCAAAATTTTAAAAAAGCAGGGAGGTGGTAAGGTCTTGGCTCAGTGGCAAACCACCCCTGGGTTCAATCCCTCCTCTCAACAACAACAACTCAACTTTTCTGACATGGGGTATAGTTCAGTGGCAGAGCACTTGCCTGGCATGTGCACAAGACTCTGGGTTCAATTCCCAGTTCCACAAAAGCAAACAAACAACCGGGTGGCGGTGGCACACACCTGTAATCCCAGCAGCTCAGGAGGCTGAGGAAGGAGGATCTTGAGTTCAAAGCCAGCCTCAGCACTAAATAACTCAGTGAGACCCTGCCACTAAATAAAACAAACAAAAATACTAAACTTTTCTGAGAAGTCTTTACAGTCCTGTCTCAGCTGGGCTGATGTGAAGCTCCTGCACCTGCTCCCACCCACAAAAGCTGTGGATGATGGTTGAACTGCATTTTTTTGGGGGGGGGGGCAGTGGGGATTGAACTCAGGGGCACTGGACCACGGAGCCCCATCCCCAGCCCTATTTTTATATTTTATTTAGAGACAGGGTCTCACTGAGTTAGTCGCTTAGTGCCTGCTAAATTTCTTTTTTTTTTTTAAGATTTATTTATTTATTTTTTGAGAGAGAGAGAGAGAGAGAGAGAGAATATCTTTAATATTTATTTTTTAGTTTTTGGTGGGCACAACATCTTTGTTGGTATGTGGTGTTGAGGATCGAACCCGGGCCGCACGCATGCCAGGCGAGCGCGCTACTGCTTGAGCCCCATCCCCAGCCCTGTTTTTGTATTGTATTTAGAGACAGGCCTCACTGAGTTAGTCGCTTAGTGCCTGCTAAACTTCTGAGGCTGGCTTTGAACTTGTGATGCTCCTGCCTCAGCCTCCTGACCCGCAGGGTTACAGGTGTGCACCACCACGCCCAGCAGTTGACTGCTGGGTTTCTGTTCTCGTGACTAAAAGGCTCAGGGGTCACTCCAGTTAAAGTGGGCTAACTGGGCTGCACAAAATAACCACACAAGAGACACAAATACCCTTTTCTTTGGGGTCGCTGTGACGGCTCCTCTGACCTTAAGGGTCCGCAGGAAGAGAGAGCACGCGCTGACCCCTTTTATTGAGGAGAAGCTATTCAAATGATGCAAGAAGTCAGGTTTCAGGGGGCTGAGTATCTTCACGATGTCCACTGTCAGCAGGTTGACTGACACCTGGGTAGGCCACACCCAAGGGCACAGTAAGAGGAGGGGACACACAAGGCACTTCCATGGAAGATTCTATCCTAAACAGGGCAAGGGGTTATATTACAAAGGAACAGGTGAGCGTAGCTCCACCAATGGGGCTGTAGCAAGACACACCCATGCAGGAGACACCGACCCTCAAACCCAAGAAGGGTGGGGAAAGCTCTGCCACATTTCTTCGACTGAGCGCCTCAGCACCCAGCCGGGGAGTGTGACCCAGTCACCTGCAAGGTTGGTCTCCTACAGTCGACCTGCACCTTACTGGAGGAGAGCAAGTGGGATGCTGGGCGTTAGCTTTGCAGAGAGAGTGTGCAAGCGGAGGGCTTGCAAGTACAGACTTATTCCGGATTCAGAAGGGGTCTACAGCAGCAGTTTGGGGAGGGGGTGTCCAGAGAGGGCAGAAATGCTTCTAGAAAGGATTAATGAAGTATTGCTTGACAGGTGCAAACAAAATCCTCTTCCAGCATCCTCAGGAAGTTATCAAGAAAATAAACCTTCCTCATAAAATCACTTTAGGACTGGATGCTTTTTTCTGGAAGATGGGAACCAGGGCTGAATCAGGCCTCCAGTTGACCAGGGAACAAGTCCCAGGCCACTCAGGTAACAGGTGTAACCCATCCGACCTGGGGGACACCAGCAGCACATAAAAACTAATAATAAGTAACAAGTTAACATTTGTCAAGTTCTTATTTTTCCTGGTCAGTCCTATGCACGTTGAAGGGGCTGTCTTATCTCTTCTGCAGCGAACCCATAAGCAAGTTCTGAGATGATCCTCATTTTGCATGTACAGAAATGGCAGTGGCTCAGAAGGATGAAATACTTTCCTTAGGCTGTGCAGCCAGCTTGGATGGAGGTGGATTTCAAACTTAGGTCATGTGGGTGGGTGGGGGTGCTGGGGTTGTGGCTCAGTGGTAGAGCACTCACCTAGCATGTGCAAGGCACAGGGTTTGATCCTCAGCCATGCCTATAATCGCAACAACTCCAGAGGCAGAGGCAGGAAGATCACTAGTTCGAGACCAGTCTCAGCAATTTACGGAGATTCTGTCCCACCAGGTGCTCCCACAGTGWTGTGTTATCCTGCCACAGACCCAAAGCAGTAGGGTCAGTCTACCATGGGCTGGGACCTCCAAACTCTGGCCCAGAATAAACCTCTTCTTTTTATAAGTTGATTATCTCAGGTATTTCATTACAGTGACAGCTGACCAGCACAGCAGGCTACTCAAATTCTGACCAGTGCCTCACAATCCATTTCTGCCTCAAGTAAATCACAACTGTTATGGGGAGGCCTGTGAGGAGGAATGTCACACGGAGGGGATCAAGTGGCAGGCAATGGGGCACTTCGGAGGCCAGAGGGGCAGTATACATTAAGACTTTGCTAAAGGAGAATCAAACACACAAAAACTGTCTCTCAGGGCAGGACACAGTTCTTCTCAGGGAGGGAACCCAGGCTACAGGGCAACTACTCAGGTGAGGCCATGAACTCTGACTGGTTTTACAGACCACAGGATGTGTCACATCAATTGTGCATTCACTGGAATCAGGCCAACATTTTTAGTGTCATTTTGAATCATTTAATCTGGATTTGCATCCCAGCTCGCCATTAGCCCTTGATCATATTTCAAACCTCTGTACCCCTCTTTCYGCATCTGCAGAGCGCACCCAGGGATGGCAGAGGGAACCCCACAGGGCTGTGTTGACAGCTGAAATAACAGGAGGTGAAGCACCGAGGGGTCCTGGTGCAGAGCAGGGACCTGGGCAACAGCAAACGTTGCTGCTCCTCCACAGTCTCTGTGTGTTCTTACACAAAACTGCAGACCCTGGACTATGCAGGAAACACGCAAGCCCAAAGTACCCTGTGACCTGCAGAGCAGAGGCCACRCCTGAGGGCATCTAGGCGGGTTGCGCCCAGATCAGATGATCCACCCAGATAGGCTGCTGCAGGGTGATAAAGACCCACGTCTATTGGGCCCTCAGTGCCTTCCAGGCCTCTCCTGGTAGTGACAACAGATGGCCCCAAGTAGAGGAATAGGGAGAAGCYGAGGGGGCAGATCAACCCAGAGCCAAAAGGGAGGTAAGAAGAGCTTTAATCAGTGCATACAATAAAACAGGAAGGCCCAAGAAACCTAGAAGGTGCTACACTGCCCGGGACCAGAGCAGGCAGGGGCAGCAGGCAGGGTGGAGAAGCGCTCGGGAGCCACAGGGGCCAGACAGCCGCTGGCGCGTGCTCTGTGCACAACTAGCTGTCGTGGCCGGCCTCGGGTAAGTGACCCAAACACAGGCTTTCCCGCCCCRAGGGATCATCTGGAGAATAACAACTGGATGGCACAGAGATCATGGGCTGCCATTTGATGAAAATGAATTATWGAGGATTTAAAATTAGAGCCACCCACCAAACAACTGACCTCCAAACACTTTTCCTTCTTTGCCTGGTGAAGGAGGCTAGTCATCCCAGGAAGCAGGATTGGAAAGATGTAGGTTTCCAAATATTTTCTGGGGGAACCTAGAGTGAACAACAACAAAATTTCCACTGTAAATCYCAAACTGCCCACACCCACCTGGGAGAAATTTTTAGACTATGAAAAGGTACTGTCCATCACTAACACACCCTTCAGTGTGACATTTRCTCCAGACCATGGAATCTGATTGCATTACTAGAGAAACTTAAAATGTCCCTGTGAGCCTCCGWAGTCTGCCAAGGATGTAGGTGGGTCCCACGCCAGGGCAGGCCCCCAGCTTGTTATGGCTGCAGGCAGTAACACAGCCAGGAGCCCAGTGTGGCCAGAGGAGCAGAGGGACATAWGCAAGAGGAGTGCATAGGAACTGTGGCCACAGGAGAACTGGGGGTGGGAGCAMACTGGAAAGGGCCCGAGGGCCACGGGAATGGAGGTGGTGGTCGGCACACAGTGGGCAGGGAGGCCTGAGGAGCAGCTGCAGTCTGCACTCAAGGAAGGCACCATGACATTTTCTTCTACTTCTTGCATTTGTTTGCTCCTCTTTTTGTTCTTGGTAGTTAAGGTAGAATCGGAGTGTGGTTTATTATTATCTCTACTGCATTTTAACCTTAAAGTTAAATCAGCAGAAAGATGATACTATTTCCTCCTTTTTTTTTTTTTTGTAATGGAGATTGAATCCAGGAGCTCTTTACCACTGAGCTACATCCCCAGTCCTTTCATCTTTTAAATTTTCTTTTTTTGAGACAGGGTCTTGCTAAGTTGCTGGGGGCTTGCTAAGGCTGGCCTTCAGCTTGTGATCCTCCAGCCTCCAGCCTCCTGAATTGCTAGGATTATAGGCGTGCACCACCACACTCAGGGAGGATACTCCTCTTAAAAATAAGAATTAAAACAACAACAGTCTCTTATTTATGCAGTCTCCCTGAGGTCTAGGGACCACTCCTATCCCCACTCTATGGTTTTGTAATGTTCTAAACCCCAAACTATAAAAGAGGAAAACCCACTTCCTTACTCACATGTTTTTGGATCAACAGTTTCTGAGATCTTTAGAGGACAGGGTATATGTGAGACCCTGGTGAAAGGCGGGGGTGGGAAATAGTGCTCTATGTTGAAGCCGTGGGAAACCGTCTCCTCCAGGGGCGAAACCTGGGAAGGGAGGGGAGGGAAGTCAACGCATGTCAACAGTGGAAGCTGAATTTCCTTTCTTTTTTTTCAGTTGTTGATAGACCTTTATCTTATTTATTTATATAAGGTGCTCCTGGCCCAGTGACTGCCTGCTCACCCTGAACAGTCTTCACGTGGACAACACTCCTCACAAGCATCTGGTCAGTTTTTCTATTCAAAGAAGAGGCCCATCCAGAAAACCAACCTCCATGTTCAGCAGAAGAACTACCACTGTGATGTTTAATTTCCCACGTCAACTGGACTGACCCAGCTGGTGGAGCATTATTTCTGGGCATGACTGTGAGGGTGTTTCTGGAGATCAGTGACGGAGTGGAGGACTGAGCGGGGAGGTARTCCCCAGTGTGGATGGTTAGGATCCAATTGGCTGGGGGCCTAGCTGGAAGAGAGCGGTGGAGGGAAGGTAAATTTTCTCTCAGCCAGGATGTCCTTTTCCTTGGATGTAGGCATCTGGGACTTGCACCAGTGCCCGCCATACCATTCTTAGGCCTTTGACCTTGGACTTGACCAAACCACACTGCTGATTTCTCTGGTTTTCCAACTTGCCTGTGGCCTTTTCTCAGCCTCCATAATCATGTGTGAGTCAATTCCTCTAAAAAAGACCCTTCCTTCATCTATCTATGTATCGTCTCCTATTGGTTGTCTGTCTGCCTATCTATTTATATTCTCTTATTGRTTGTGTCTCTCTGGAGAACCCTAAAATACCAGCAATACAGAAAAATCAACTCATTTATTTAAAGTGGTGATTTTAAATAAATATTCAAATATCTCTATACAGATCAAGAAAAGCAASAGGATAAAAGGCAAAAGGTTAAGATCTAACCGAGCACAGTTRAACCTGGAATAAAGACAAATAATCCAGGAACAAGAGGTTATTTGATGCAGAATCTGCAGAAACACTTGAGAAAGAATTGCATCCATAGAGCAAGAACATGATGCTATGAAAAAGGAACACTCACAAAATGTRATTTTTAGACACAAAAACTCTGTCAGAGGTGGCTATCATGGAAGCTATGAGTCTACAGACAGGTTTTGATTTCATCCCTGTGACCCTGCACAAGTCCCTTTGTCTCTGCAAATGTTTTTAAAATTTTCAAATTTATTGTGCATATTTAATTCCAAGGTATGTCTCTAAGGGCCTCCCTCCTGGCTCCCTGTCCTTGGCCCTCTGTACTCTGCATCTGCCCTACCCTGGAATGCAGAGGAACTTGTCCCCAGCACAGACAGGCTGTTGGATCCACGGTGAAGGCCCTTCTCCTCCAGGATCTCACCTGAGCCCCACAGATACCCTGTTAGTTGAGGATTATCTGTGCCATTTAATCAGTGCAGAAGCAAAGTCTGAAAGAGGTTAGGTCACACCATTAGTAACAAAACTAGGACTGGCCTCAAGTTTCTGATCCTAGCTTCCGTCCACCGTCTCCTTCTCACCTCCTAACTCATGACACCGTCTGACCTTCCCCAGCCCTCAGTACTAGTCTCATTTAAGAGCCTTYTATTTAGCATGAGGCCCGGGTCATACTCACAGTAATTTCAGGCTCTTGTTTGACTTCATATCCTTTTGGAAAGGGAGGCAGCTCAGCCTGGTACTCTAAAGGGAAGGGGAAAAAAAATCCTCAAATRCCATGCTTCATTGCAGTTTGTGATATCATTTCCTTTTCTCTGAATGAAATATTCTTAAATTTTATTTCAGTTGGTGGTTTACAGMAATAAAAACCAACTGGCCATTGCAAGGTAATATTTAGTGTGGATAAACCAACTTATTTAAAATGGACGGTTGACCTCTCACATGAAAGCCAAAGCTTTATGTAAGAGTCTGAGACTCTTTGCCTGAGAATACTAGTTCAGATTTTGCTCAAACATTAGGAGGAAMAGAGGAAGRAAGAGACTGGGGAGGAGGGTAAGGGAAGATGCCAATAGCACACATGGAACAGAGTGATGCAAAGAACAATCCACCCAAGTCGTACAGGGCAGCAGTAACTACTGCTGAGAGAGGGACCGAAAATGCTCATGGGCTAACCTAACCCTAACCCTAAAGAAAAGTTGGGTAAAACATTTCTGGGAAGGTTCATGTTTTAAAGACGACTTTGCCAGTGATGACAAAAGATGTTTCTGGCCAAGATGGTACTGAAGGAATGCAGCTCCGTTGTGCCTATGTTTTGCTCCTTACCTCGTTACTCACAGGTACTAGAGCATGTCTCACTTTTGAAAAAGACACTATTTTAAATATCAGGCTGGGGACGCGTACATCCGACTACGGATTACAAGCAATTTGATTCTCAATATCAGCTATCGCTGTGCAACTAATTACAGTAGTCTCCCTTCAYGAGAGCTTGGATCCACAATGTCTCCCACAGGCCCAGATTGCTCTATTGGTAGGTGACAGGCTCTTTAAGAGATGGCACCTAGTGGGAAGTTTCCAGATCACTGGGGTCAAGCCCTGGAGAGTGGGGTCCTGGCCCCTTCCTTTTCCTCTTCAAGCCACCAAGTGGGTGGCTTTGCTCTGCCAGTCTTGTGCTGCCTGCTATAGGCCCAATCACTGAAACCTCCAAAACTGTGAGCAAAAATGAACCCTTTCTAGGTTGTCTCAGGTATTTGTTATGGTGACAGGAAGCTCATATACTCCTTGTGCCCACAGAGTATGTTCCAAGATGTTCCTAAGATGCCCCAAATTGCATCTTAGGAACATCTTGGAACATGCAGGTAGTATTAAATACCACACCCAGCTAAATTTAGAGATTTAAAGCAACACAAATTATCTGAGTCAAAAGTCCAGGAAAAAGGGCCGGATGAGGTGGCGCATGCCTGCAATCCCAGCGGCTTGGRAGGCTGAGGCAGGAGGATTGCAAGTTCAAAGCCAGCCTTAGCCAAACCAAGGCGCTAAGCAACTCAGTGAGACTCTGTTTCTAGATAAAATACAAAATAGGGCTGGGGATGKGGCTCAATGGTCGAGTGCCTCCAAGTTCAATCCCTGGTACCAAAAAAAAAAAAAAAATCCAGGAAGAGAGAGGTGTCTCATGCTGGAATCAAGGCATCAATCACTGCTCTGACTTAGTATCTGAGAGCTGGGGTCCTTTTCCAAGCTCACTAGCTGTTCATTCTCTTGTGGTCGAAGGGCTGGAGGCCCTGTTGTCTCYTTGGTTGTCAGCTAAGAACTGCTCAGCTCCTAGGGCCTGCCCTCAGGTACTTGCCTCGGGCAGTGTACAATAGGGCTGTTGGTACTTCAGTGCCAGCAGGAGTCTCTTCTACTTGATCTGACTTCAAGGGCTCACCTGATTAGGCCACGCCCACCATCGTGTAAAGCGGATGATTAAGGACTTTAAATACATCTAAAGCATCTTTTCACAGATGTTTGGCTTAATATCTGAAAGGTATGTGCACTAGGAGTTAGGAATCTTGGGGGCCATGTTAGAATTTTGCCTACTGTATCAGCCACAGCCCTATCACTTTTTCCCCCTGCTTGGACAAGCATGTAAATTCACCTTTGTTGAGGGCCACAGCCAAGTCGGGATGATGCATGGCATTTTGTCAGAAAGGAGTGGTTGAGAGGTGACACCAGCGAGCCATTGAAATGATTATGTTAAGCTGTGTATTCAATTGTATATATGACCGGCAACAGGGTGGCTCTTGCTGCCTCGGGCGCCCGCTACTTTGGAGTTCCCATTGAGTTTGAGTTCTCTCCAGAGAGTGGGTACAAGCGGACCCCGGTGGAGGGAAGAGTGTTCCCGGGAGCCTGTGTAGTGTGCTGGTGGAGTTCGGGAATAAAGACTTGCTGTTTGAACCTACAAGTGCTTCGTGGCGGCTCGGTTATTTGTGCCCAGCCAGACTGCAGCAACCCTTCTTCCCCACTCTGAGAATCACTGAGATAAAGGGAAAACTATTTAGGTTTAAAATGTATACATTTATGCCACTGTTTTAATACAACACCAGTACATAATCGTTGAAAGAAAATTTCAAATAACACAGAAATATTTACTTTTTAGTCAGTCACATCTAATCCTGTCCCTGAGTACTTAGGCTTGGCATACAGCCAACCGAATCTTTTCAATGTATTACTAATATAAGGTACACAAATGTTTGCTTTAAATCTCCCAGACTAGGTCAAACTGCTAAAGTACGGAACCTCATAACTCTTGTCCACATTTTTCTTTATCAGTTTTTCCCCTTATTTGAATTTTATAAAAATTTATGCTGTCCTTTTTAATAGACTGTAGATTTGGCAAGGGAAGTACCTGGGTTTGTGTTATTATATCCCCAAATTATTCTTGCTGAATAAACAAATAATGAATAAATAAACCAAACAGTACATCGAATTTTTTKTTTGTTTGTTTTTGTACCAGGGATTGAAGCCAGGAGTGCTTAACCACTGAACTACATCCCCAGCCCTTTTTATATTTTGTTACTTAGGGCCTCAGCCCCGCAAGCTGCTGGGATCACAGGTGTGCACCACCATGCCCCGCTGCAGCAAGTTCTTTTGATTCATCCATTAATCCCTACCTACTGCCTGCCACATGCCAGGAACCCTTCTAGGTGTTGAATATTGGGTCCTTCAATGCTGCCACAATTCTATTGTGCCACACTTATTACAATGTTGCAATGAGCATCTTTACCACTGATCTCAATGAAATCATTTTTGTGGGATTAACTCAGTTGTGAAATTGTTGTCAAAGGGAAAAAAATTGGGGCAATTTGCCAAACTTTCCTACAAAAAGTTTATAATAGTGAGACTGCCTATTTCTCCAAATATAATCAATYGTACACATWTGAAAAAATATTTTTATTTGCATTTCATTGTTATTTGCCATTTTTATTTTTCCAACAAAAATCTCAGTTAAAATTTGATGAAAAAAACACAAAACTTCACACGACCATAGAAGAGATACAGTTGAAATAATTATTTAAAAGTACAGGAAAGCATATTAGCCTCAGGAAAACCCGATATGTATGTTACTTTAAGCCTTGGGAATGTTTACAAGAATCTGAAATATTTGAGAAATCATTGGTTTCACCTTGAGATTTCAACTTGATACACAGGTGATCAAAGACTTGTGTTGTTACATTGAAAGGCCTAAGCAAAGGGTTTGTAAAAAGCATTGAACTATGGGCTGGGGATGTGGCTCAAGCGGTAGCGCGCTCGCCTGGCATGAGTGTGGCCCGGGTTCGATCCTCAGCACCACATACCAACAAAGATGTTGTGTCCGCCGAGAACTAAAAAATAAATATTAAATTTCTCTCTCACTCTCTCTTAAAAAAAAAAAAGCATTGAACTATTTAAAACAATTTGATTGATCATAGAGAACACCTTCTGGGGAGAAATGAGGGAGAAGATTGTCTGCTCTGGGTTGGTAAGAGGGTGGAAATTGAAGTGGTGTGAATAAGAGAGCTGTGTTTCTAGACTGGTTGCTGCAACCCATACAATCAGAAATGAGAAATTATACTCCATTTGATTCAAATGTATGAAATGTCGAGATCATTGTACTGTCATGTGTAACCAATTAAAAAAAGTCATAATCATAAAAAAAAAAAGAAAGAAAACTATAAACTCCAAACACTTGGGCTCAAGTCTTGGTTAAAACCGTAAACATYGCAGTGACTTGTGGACCTAGGGCCTGGCACATGCTAGGCAAGCACTCTACCAGCGTTACATCCAGCCCAATATAAATGCTTTTGAGAATCCTTAGTTGTCACTGGAAAGATGAGGGCAAACCCAGAACACTTACAAATAAGTTATCACAGAGGCAGGTAGGCATGGGCACATGCACACACGAGAGCACAGYACAGGGAGGATAAAGAACGTAAGTTAGAGTTCACCTATACTGTATCTTGTCYTCATGAAATTGAGTACCTGTAGACGTGTCTGCTATGACAGTTTACTTTTTGAATGAAGACATCCTAACAGAATGTAATTCTTAATTTTAAAGGTAGGATTTCTACAAAGCCTGTTTTTTCATGTTTCTTGTGTGTATAATTTGCCATCTTTAATCTCATTAACTTCATTTTATATCTATTACTTCATAAGTGTCGATTCACCTGCTTTTCAGAAAGAAAACCTTTTGTCTTGCTTTTYCCCTATAGTCCTGATGGACCAACACAAACTCCACCTCTAAAATATAACACAAAGAACRTTCCTTTGTTGACAATAATGAACATTTACTAAAAGCAGGGCTCTGTCCTCAGCACCTCCACATACATTTTCTCATTTGGTCCTCACAACAGCCCTGTGAGGTAGGCACAACATTATCTCCCCCTTATAGATGAAATTGAGCAATGTCCCCAACATTGCTACAGTCTAGCAGCAAACTGTATTATGAAGAATTGTTTGGCTTGGAGAAGTGAATGTTCTGGAAAGACAGCCATAATATTTGAGTGGATTCTTTGTAGGTAGAGTGATTCACTCCTTGGATCACAGTACCAAAGGTCCTAAGGGTGGAAGTTATAAGGAGAACATTCAGAATAAAACAGATTTTTCCCTACAACAATGAAATGCTGGAGAAGGACTTTAAGACCTTGATGGGAGTTGACATAGACGGCCTTGAGGGTTGACTCTCAGAGTCCACTACTTTCTACTTCCTCTGTACTCTACATTGCTTTCAAATCATCCCTTATCTTCATACACTGGCACATTCATGTTTGTTTCCATTCAGTAAACATTTCCTGACCTGCACTGTCCAATGCAGTAACCACACTGTGACTACTTAATTTACTAAAATGAGAAATTCTGTCCCTCAGCTGTGCCAATCACATCTCAAATTCTAACCAAAAGCTTCCTTCACTGTCCCCAATGCCGATGAAGGCCAATTTAATAATGAGGACACGGTTTTGAAAAAAAGGAAAAAGAAGGTTTATTGCTTGCTAGCAAAGGAGAAACACAGGGGACTCCTGTCCCAAAGGTTGTGACTCTGGCGATCAGGAGGAAGGGGGGTGGGGTGGTGGGAGGGTGTTAAAGGAACTCTACAAGGGTTACATTCCAGGTGTGCTCTGGTAGGGGTCCCAGGGCACCCAGCTGGTCTGTTAGGATTCATTTGCAAATTTGGGAGATATCTACAGGGAGAGAGGGGAATAGAAAGAAGACTTTTTTTTTTTAAACAAGATAAACCTTAGAGCAATGAGGGCTATATTCAGAAGGCGAAGGGACCACGGTWACAAAATGCTCAATAACCACCCGTGCCTAGTGGCTACCAGGTAAGTCCTATCCGACTTTGCTGTTTGGTCTGTTAATGCGGAGATGGTGGTCACAGGATGAAAACCCTGAGCTTTTGCCCTTGAAGAACTGCACAGCCTTGTGAAGAAAAAAGAAACAAAACCAGGTTTACCTGCTGTAAACCAGGCCGTTTGCTGGGCACTCTCCGTGCCCCGCGGGTCCCATTCTTCTCACATGGCTATCATTACGCCCTCTTTACAGAAGGTTTTTTTTTTTTTTTTTTTTTTTTTTTTTAAAAAAAGCAAAGTTAAATTCTAACTGGTCCACAGCAAGTGAAGAGTGTCGCAGGGCCACAAAGACGGGACAGCGCCAAACTCCGCTCGTGGGGGGGTGTTCTGGAAGGTCTGGAGCCAGACGCGCCGGGACCCGCCCGCCCGCTCCACGTGTGGGCCCGACCACCTTCCCGCTGGGAGTCTCCCGGGCCGCTCCTCAGACGCCCGAAGCCCGGATCCCACCAGAGGCCCGGGGGCAGGGTCCGCCCCTCAACAGGGTCCCCGCGGCCGCCCGGGCGGTTCTTTTCTGGGCTTTAAACGCGACTTAAGATCCCGCAGGCTCCCTCGCTCCGTTTTCCTCCCCTCGGCTTCGACCGCGGCTCCAGGCCCGAGCGTGGAATTCGGGTCCGGCGGGCCGCGGCCTCGCACGTCAGCCGCCTGGCGCACAGTGGGCGCCGGGCACACGCGGCCCCCGCCCGGCCGCTCGCGTCCCGCCCGCCGCGGCCAGTCCGGGCAGCCTACCCTCGCAGATCTGCTCCCACAGGTTTTTGCCCGATAGCTCGGCCACCTGCCCCGGCGAGACAGGCAGCTCCGGGGACGGGGACGACAAGGTGGGCACTGGTGTCCGGGTGGCGACAGACGATTCGGCGGAGCCGCTAGGCTCCATGCGCTGAACGCTGCGGCTTGAGGTCTGCCGCGACGCCGCCATGGCTGCGGTTTCCAAGACAACCGCGTTCACCGAGCGGCCGCGAACCGGAAGGGGCCGGAACTCGCGGGGATGGACCAGCGACTCGAAATTGACTTCCGGGTCACGGCGGCGCTGGTCCTCACGTGGAGGCGGGGAGGTTTGGCCTGCAGGTAAGTGCGGGGCGTGCGGTGCAGGCGCGCCGCGGGGGGTGTGGAGTATGGGCCTGAGGGTTCCCGCGACTGAGAAGAGGTCGGGGAGCAGGATCTTGCACCCCAAGTCCCGCCCCCAGCTGCCCGTGTGCGCCGCCGCGTTCAGGAAGTTCTCCCGCCATGAAGCCGAGCCGCGGACCCCGCGGAGGCCGTCGCTGCGTGCTTAAGCAGAAGCTTTGACCCCGCGGGGCTTTGGAGGGAGCGCCCTTCCCCYTTTGGCTCGCCTGCGTCGTGCTAGTGAGTCTACGGTGGGAGTGGGGTGTTGGTTGGTGCTCGGGCTCTGGGGTCCTGCGGTCTGGGTTCGAATCCCTGTTTTGCCACTTGCTGAATTTAAAACGTTGGACGGGTGAACTAGGTCGCCAACGCCTGTGAGGTGGGAGAGTCACTTCAGTCCTTAGGAGACTCTGGCAGACGCTTAAAAGCGCTTTTGTAGAAAGCGTTTGCAGAAGATGCACCGTATGGTTCGTTTCCTCTTCTGATTGCAAGAGTGCATACGTCTGGGGTCGGAAGGCCGAGGAGGAGGATCCCGCATAGCTCTGGATGGCAGAGATAGGAGAGAAGCCCATCTAAGTCCTGGTGGCTTATTTATTCTTACTAGCTCTTTTGACCACTCCTCCATCAGGGAGCCATGTGGGCTTGACTCCACCCACTTCAGGTTTGCACCTCCTCCGCCCACCTGTTTATCTTCAGCTCTTAGGCTCATTATGTTCCAGTCTTGATTGCCAACCATATGGTCCTGTTCACGTTACCTGTGACCAGTGCAGTCACCCTGAGCCTCAGACCCTGCGTCCGTGTGTCCAGCGAACATCTCCACTTGGATATCTCATCTGTTCAAGCTAGCCTGTTTCCTCCAGCTGCCAGCCCTCCTGCCATTGCTTCCTTTGTCTCAGAGGCTGACATCATTTCCTTAAGTTGCCCAAGTTGCCGCTGTTCCCCAGAATCTTTCTTGACAACTGGTAGTAAATCCATCTTGCAGTCCTCACCACTGTCCTTTCTCTTATCTTGTGTATTATTGTTATGCCTCTTCCAAACCCACTGCTTTTGATGGCTGATGTTTTGTCTTTTATCTGTATTTCTAGCATTCATTTGTTGAGTATTTATTGAGCACCTGCTGTCTGCCAGGCACTGAGATAGGCTCTGGGAATACACCAGGAAATGGGGCGAAGAACAATAAATGAGCACCTGCCTCTCCAGGTGCTACTGGATGGTGTAATGAATGTACCTGAGATATAGCTCAGGCCTGGTCTGGCTTTTTGAGGCTGCTAAGTGCGGGTTGAGTCCAATTTGAACCCTCCAGCTCTGAAGCCAAGGAGTGCTGTGGGTTGGAGAAGCTCCTGGGTTTTCTCTCTGACCAGCCAAACCTACAAGGAGATATTTTGTTTCTAGATTCTCTGAATGTCTCCTTTTCCCCTAGCTTCTGTGCAGGAACTAGTCTGGTGCCTGGAGCCAGAGAAGTAGCCCAGGTGGAAATTAAAGTGTTTTAAGAGTCTTAATCCCTTCTCACAGAGACTTTCATTTGTCTAAGAAAAGGTAGACATTCTTGGTAGCTGTGTCATTGCCAATCATTAAATATTGGCGATCATTTTGAAATTAAAAAAAAGTGAAACAGTCCCCAGCATGATGGCACATGCATGTAATACCAATTGCTGGGGAGGCTGAGGCAGGAGGATCACAACTTCAAAGCCGGCCTTGCAATGGCAAAGCGCTGAGCAACTCAGTGAGACCCTGTCTCTAAATAAAATACAGAAAATGGGGCTGGGGCTGGGGCTGGGGCTCAGTGGTCACTATGAACTCAGAGTGCCTCTGAGTTCAGTCCCTGGTACCCCTTCCCCCCTCCAAAAAAAAAACCCAAAACAGTGAAACAGACTTAAAGTAGGATGTGGTTGCTACCTTGAACAGCTTCTGGTTTATTAGAGTTCTAACTGGGCTCCTCCTCTCACTGTGCCATGTGGAAGGCAATTAGGAGGGTATAGTTAACAAGAGTGGAAGGGGGAATGTTCGCTTTTAAGTTCAGAAATGAATTTGGGCTGTTTAGATAACCCAGAGTAGGAGCTGTGTTTATTGCCTCTGGTGGGATTCAGCAGGAGGGGCTGACCACTTTTCAGGATTTCTGTCTCCATTCAGCAAAAGGTATGTCCCTGTGGGCAGCTTTCTGATTTGATAACACTTGTACCCTCCGGGGCTGGCCCAAGATAGGTTTTTCTGTAAGTATTTGTTGAATGAATGACCAGAGGTTAAAGGAAACGTGTTAGAAAAAGGGACTGACAATGTTCTAAGCACTTTGCATGGATTATCTCATTTGTTTTCTCTAATATCCATTTGAGGAAGGAGGTTGCATGCCCCATCCCATTTTCCAGATGAGGAAACAGGCTCAGAGAAGTTAGGGGGTTGGTTCAAAGTGGCAGCAATTTAGATTTGAACCTAGGCCTATCTAAATGAAAACTTCTGCTACTTCTAATAGATCTCTCTTTGCTCCAAATGAATCCTGGCCATTTCCTTGTTCGCAGTCATTTCAGACCACCCACTCAGACACACGGTTTGTGCAGAACTTAGTATTGAACACCAGCCGCTGGATGTGGTGATATAACTTGTACTTTTTTTTTTTTTTTTAAGGAATGATCACCAAGACCCATAAAGTTGACCTGGGTCTTGGGGTCCCAGAGAAAAAGAAAAAGAAGAAAAAGAAGAAGGTGGTCAAAGAGCCAGGCACTCACTACTCAGTTTTAAGCTGTGACGATTATTTTGTTGATGCTTCTCCTGTTAGGGCTGCATCCCCCTCTAAGAACGTGGGCCAGGCGCAAGCGCATGAGGTGCCTCTAGTGAAGAAAAAAAAGAAAAAGAAGGGCTGTGGCACCCTTTTCGAGGAGCGGCTGGATTCGGAGCCCAGGCTGAGTGCCAGACGGACAGAGGCCTCACCCAGCCGCAAGAAGCAAGCCCTTGGCCACTCGGAGTCCTTCAGCAAGGAGAAGAAAAAGAAGAGGAAGTCTTCATCGCTCATCACGTCCCATGGCTCAGTGACAAAGACCTCCCAAGACACCAGAAACGGTGAGGAGGTGACCAGAATTGGGAAGAAGCTCAGAAAACACAAGAAGGGAAAAAAGTCCGAGGACATTACAGCCTTCTCCAGCCAGGACCCGTGGCTCTACGAGGCTGGAGATGCCCCCTATGCGGGCTCCCTGGAGAACGAGGTTGAGGAGCAGGCAGCCTCAGGGCAGAAACGGAAGCAGGGGAGCCCCAGAGAAAGCAGCGGGAAGCTGAAGAAGAAAAAGAAAATCCATCAGGAAGGAGATGCCCTGTTGGGCCACTCCAGACTCCCCAGGGCCACAGAGAGCAGCCCTAGGAAAGGGAGGAAGAAGAAGCCGGTCTCAGTTGATGTCCAAGAATACATTCCAATAGGAGATGGCCCTTCGTCCCCGGTGAAGAAGAAGGTGAAGTCCAAGAAGAAGGCAGAGCAGCCAGTTGTAGAGGAGCTGACTCTGAAAAGGAAGAAGAAGAAGAGGAAAGAGAGTGGGGTAGCAAAAGGCCCCTGGAAGGAGGTGGGTTTCCTTCAGAAGTGGACTGTGCACTGGGAGGGTAACATGCATCTGGGAGAGAGCGTGTATGTGTGCCTGTGTGCACTTCTGCACATGGAAGGGTACTTATACTTTGGCACTTCCTCTTCCCCAACCCCTGCCTCCTCCAAGATGATTCCATTAACTAGGCTTTCACCCTAGTAGTTCCGCCACCTCCAAAGGAAGTGTCCTAGTGCTAGTGCCTCGGCGTGTTAACCCTGTCACCTTCTCACCTGTCTGGTGGGTCAGCTGTGCTGGTCATCCCCTTTTAATAGACACGGAAACTGAGGCCCAAGGGAGTTGAAGGCCTTGTCTGAAGTCATTCAACTGGTGAGAAGTAGAACTGGGGTTCAGACCCAGATTGGCTAGTTCTGATGTGGGTCTCTTTCTAGAATCCACCAGGGTATCATGTCTTAGAAGCCATTGTCACTGAAAGCCAAGAAATGACTGTCTTCCATGAGGATAAGACTTTCATGGTGACTTCAGAGTGGCGTCCCCTGTGTCCCTCAAGTAGTAGTGATGAGCACTTCCCTAGTGGTGGCCTGACCTGGGGACCGGCTGGAGCTGACCCTTAGGTGCACACATCTGAGGCCCACACTCTGCTTGCCGGGTCAGGCTGGGGGCCTGTGGGAGGAAGCTTGGGCGGGTGGATTTCTCCCGCTGTGCCCTCATCCATCAGGCTCCTTTTGCTGTCATCTTTATCTAGAAACTTGRGGCTAGGAGGAATCCTACAGGCCTGGAGCCAGCCCCTGTTATACATGAGTCCCATTCCCCAGGAGCCCCAAGAAAGGTGTCCCCTCTGTTTAGCATCCGCCACCCATGGATGCTGCCTCTCAGAGTAGCCTGCTGAGTCGGCAGGTGTGCGCGTGCCTACCAGATGCAGTCGGGGTGACCTGAGTGGGGTCATCCCTGGGTCAGCACACGTGTGCTGGCAGTTGTGACAGAAGGATCGGGATAGTAGGCAAGCCCTGGATCCCCTAGGGGCCCGGCTAGAGGGAGTCAGGGCAGGCCTGTGTGGGCCTCTGCCTCCCTGCAGAGGCCCCACGTGGCAAGTGGAGCAGTGGCATGGTGGAGGTGGGCAGAGGCCAGGTACAGGGGTCCCTAGAGGCCTCAGGAGTCTAGACTCTGGTGTGAACCAGATGGGACCCCTTAGGGGGTTGAGGGAAGAGGACATGCCCTCCATTGAGATTTTAAAGTGCACCTGAGCTGCAGTGTCAATGGAGCTTGGGTGAGGGCAGGGAACAGGTAGAAAAGGCTCAGGT